ATGCAAAATCCAGCCCAATACCACCTAAGGTTCCTCACTTGGGTGTCCTGTTTCACGCACATCCCCCCCACTGAAGAAAGTGGCTTTGCTGCCAGCAAAGTCCTCCTGTAAGAGCCCTTAAGCTCCAAAGGGTAGGTTTGTATATGAGATTTCAGTCATTAAATAAACAGTTCTCTAAAAAACTTCAATACCTGTCCCTTCACGTAAGGAGATTCTACAACCCTGCAGGGAAGGATGGCTTCTCTCCAAGTAGCTCGGGGTGGGGGAGGAAAGAGAAAGTTAAAGCAAGAAACATTAAATTACCCAATTAGTCTGTTGGATACACCTAAGTGTTCTCTCTCTCCCAAGTATCTCAACAACATAACAGACTACTTAGAAGTCAGCATCCTATTCAAAATCAAAAGCAGAGCTGTCATGCCAGAGATCATTAGTAGCTATAGAGATAAAAAAAAGTTGCAAAAGCAGAGAGATCTGGTGCTTTTACTACTGTGACTCTCCAGCAGTACAACATTTCTTAGAGAACACGCTATCAAAGCCCCCGAAATGCTTTGCAAACATTGAATCTCAACACACTTAGGTGAGGAGGAACCACATCAGAAACCTTGTTTTCCTCCTGGGTAGCCTGAAGCCCACAAATATGCTTAAACATCTTACCCCAGATTACATAGCAAGTTGCTCGTGAACCAGAGGAGAACAGAGAGCCCCTGGCCTCAGCCCCTCACCTCAGCCACTACACAAAGCTGTCTTTACCACATATATCATCCACATACTTTGCAAATCTCTCTATGGTAACGTAGATATCTAACACAGAAAGAGGCTGATTAAAACCTTAGGGGTATTATTTGGAATACATATGCTAGCTCACTTCCATCTGTGTCGTTAATTAGTTCCTGACTGTAGGTTAAATGTAGGGCATGTTGTCACGAGCCTAAGGTGGGGTGGCAGGAACTCCTGCTATTGCCATATGGCTTTTTGTTTCTTCTTTCATTCTTCAGCTTTCAGCCTCCTGCTTCCAGTTTGTGGGCTCAACCATCGTATAACAAAGAACAACAAGGAAAACAAAACTAGTGTTAAAACATTAATATTCTTCACCATTAAAACCTCTACGAAGTTCTATTGAAATGCAACACAAGTATCTATCTCATCCAGAGGCTTTTACCTGCAGCAAACTTGCTATGAAATTCAGGAAAGACCTATTCCCATGGAGAAGTACCACTGCACAAGCAGGGATTTACCAGCCCTATAAACACAAACCAGGCAGCTTTCCAGAGACCAAGTGTCAGCCCTAAGTCGGACAAAATGAGAAGAGCAAGGCTATGCCTACTTGTAATATAGATGTCCAGCACTTCCAGGGGATGAAGCCAGTGTAGCAGCACCATCACCAACAATAAAAATTAAAAAAAAAAAAAAAAAGAGTTCCAGTCATCTTGTTTTCCAATGCATCTCCACAGATCAACCTTTTCTGTTAAAATACCCATGGCTCAGGACCATCCTCAACAAAGCTGTGCCTGAACGCGAGTAATTACAAGATATGCAGAGTATCAGCAGTCCCCCTGCAGCCATTTTCTAGTGAGTACTACTTGAATATTAACAGGTCTGGTGGTGCTTTGTGACTGAAGACTTGCTCCAAAGTGTTTAATTTAAAGTAGACATGGAGGTTATTTATTGTGTTTTCTGGCTCTCACTGCATACCTGTCCTTCCATTAGCTAAAGGCAGGGAAATGATTTATAGTATTTCCAAGCATAAGTTTCATAACAGTTACAAGAATCAGAGCAAGGGAAAAAATACAACAATATCCATGTTGAACAAAACAGGTTAAGAATCCAGTCATATGACTTCATGCTTGAGGCTTATGGAACTCAAGATGTTGCCTCTAAGTTTGTCAGTCTCAAAGGTAGACTTATTTGGAGGCTTAGACTTCTACCCAGTTTCTTCTTAAACATTATTTCTGCCTTTTTTTTTTTTTAATGGAGGTGTGTGGAATTGACTCACATCCTTTTGCAATATCCTTGCTCACTGGTGACATTCCTCCTACTTTTGCAGTTTCAATGGAAGAAAAGTTTTGCACAGGGGGCAGCAGAAATCTATCATTGGTGCAAAATTGGAAGAGAAAAGGACTTAAAATGAGTCTTTCATGGAAGGCAGCTTTATTCTTTGTTTTAAACTCACATGCCAATCATTAGCTTTTAAGGGGAAGACTCATTTTCAGAGATTCTTTTGCAAGTCATTACACAAAATCTACATTTCTGTGAGAAGATGTAAAGGTGCACCTGCATATTATCTCTTTGCACCATTTCATTGGCAGCAATTTGCCAACACCACACCAGTAAGTACCCTGCTGCTGCAATGACATGTGAAACATCCTTCTTTGCCCCCTGTAGAATAAAAACAATCCTTCTTCACCTGTGGGACGTAAGCTGCCAACAACAACAAAAAACTCATTACATTGACATAACGTGTAATGTTTATATTTGAAAAAGGAAAAATGGAGAACTTTACATGTGTTTATTCCTAGTTTTGGTTCAAACAATTATAAAGATAAAGGATGGTCATGATGTTCAGCAGCACATTCATACTTCACCACAGTTTCCTGGCATGGATTCTGGTTAGGTCATCCTTGCCAGCTTGAACTTGTCAGTGACTTTGCTTCCCCCTCGGACTCACACTGGCTTTCAGTACAAATTCTATCAAATAGCATTTCTCTCTTGGCATTTACGGCTCAGTCAAACTGGATTATCAACTCAGAAGGAATGTAAATAGCAAGTGAAGATCCAAGTCTTAATGGAGGCAGCCAGCAGGCACAATTACCTAGAAATACTGCAAAACAAGTCCTGTCGCTCATCCCAACAGTGTCCATACACTTCTGTGTGCAGTGACAACTGTGACTGAGGGGGGGGTGACTGGTTTACTTACTAATTCAGCCTTTGAATAAAGTTTAGATTTAATTTCTTTTCTGCTCAGTGTAGCAAGTACTGAACACTCAACAAGAATGTCACGGTCCGTGTAAAGATGGATAAACTAAACCATATGGATACTCAGTGTTGCACCAAGCTTAGAAAGTAAATGGCATAAGGGACTAAGGAATCCAGAGATCACAACCTTTAATTCCTTTATCTAGACAAAATTGCATTTCTCCAGAAGCTGTTATGTTTAAAGAAAGCAGTGTTTCGATCACATTAGATAAGGCACAAGATTAATCTTAACTCACTTTTAAAAGATATGTACTACAAGATTATGGGGTGAATCTTTTGCTGAATTAGAAAAGAATATATAACAGCATTTTGCTCAAGATTTTGCTTAGTTCAACTTTTTTGAACTAAGTGTAGAGGCTCCTCCTCTACACTACATGTATGTAAAGCCTACTTGTAGCTCAGTGCACATAAAGGAAAGGCTGAGGTTGATGTGGAACTCTGAGAGCCAAGAGCAGTCTTTCAAACTCTAGACTGGTACAACAGCTCTCATGCACTCTGATAAGTTATAAACAGTTTGCAGTTGCCTCCTGACTTGTGGCAAATATCCCTGTATCACAGCTCCTCAGTTTCCCACAGGAAAACTCTATTCCCTAAGAAGTTATGCATTAAGATCTTATCCCATTATACTTTATGCTGACAGACTTCAAGTATCTTAAGAAATTAAAAAATCCATCACATGGAAAGTTATATAGTACATGCAATCATGTAGTGGCTTATCAACTCCAGGTTTGGTTAAACTGAGGTTTAGTTGCTTTGGTTTTCTTATTCCACTGGGTATTTGATAGCCAAGGGTTAGCAGTTACTATAAAAGCCCCCAAATCATACTGTTTCTCTAAGAGTCAACTAATTGCACATGTGACTGTGAGTTCAGTGGGTAAAACAGATGCACTGTTTCTCTCTGTAAGCAGTTCTTCACAAATTAGATACGGAACAGCACCCTCTCAAATGCAGAGGAAGAACCTGCTATAGCAGGTTGATGTACAGAACAAAAATCAGAAGCTGCGAGCTCAAAAGAACCAAAGAGCAGATACAGCAAGGGCATTCCATGTTGTTAGATTTGAGGGAGCAGCAAATACCTGTGCACCCAACTTAACTTTGATACTTTTAAATGGAGAAAAGTATGAATCTACTGAAACCAACCTAAAGGCTGCTGGCTCAGTACATTGGGAAAAATCAGGATGCTTTTCTAGTCCACCAAATATCTATTAAAGGACAGCCCCTGGCAAGTAGACTTCAACGATGGGATGGGGAACAAACCTACCTTCAACCCAACTCAAATCCTTCAGGGACTAGTTCTACATTGCATTTTATTTGTGCAACCTTTAGACAGGCTATAAAGTCTCACCAGCAGCTGTACCAAACCAGTATAAATTTGACTTGCAAATACTTTCTTACTGAAAGTGATGCTTCTTGTTTACCTATTCAAGCCAGACAGAGAAGACTGTATAAAACTTAATTACCTAAATTGCTAGAACAGGATTCACAGGTAACACCTCAGTTGCAGAGCTAAAAAAGCCCGAACGATTACACTAAATTTATACTGAGGAGTTAGAAGGATTGGGATTAACTCATTTTAATGGTGCAGGCTCCCTTGCCAGAGCCAGCACGAGCGGCCTGTGTGGTTCGTGCATCTCTAGGTGGCAGTAGCTGCTCAGATTTTGAGATACCATAAGATGCTTATCTCAAATTTAGCAACCAGTATTCCTCCCATCCTCCTAGAATTGCCTTTCCTAATGTGAAATGTGACCCCCTCCCCCATTTCTTCATAATTTATAGTAGTCTGTAGCTGAGTCACAAGGATTTCTGCATTTTCCTAACCAAGTACACAAGAAAAGAAGTGAACTGCCAAAGGATTGAGGTAATTTATAGCGTAAAGCATCGAGAGCTTCTAGTCGATCAAAGGACTCAGAGAAACAAATATAAGAACAATCATGCCTTCTGTTCTCTACAAATGCCACGGCCAGAAATAACTGTCCTAATTAACTGGTTTCAGAAAATGACTTCTCTGAAAAATACAATATTCTTACCGAGGAAACTATACAACTGCCACAGCCTTACGGCAGCTGTCACCAGGGCATAAAAATCACTGATGGAAGTTTCCTTTTGCTTTCTCCGGTTGTCCATGGTACTCATCTTTAGACAGCTGTATCCATTCATGATGGCTAAATCACGCTGTAATGGGACATTCTGCTACCACTAGGATCAGTGTTACCAAGAACCACAATCACATCAGGTCAGTATTTTCACAGCTAACACTCTGTTCACTGGTTATAAAGGGTAGAAACTTTGCCTGAGATGAGGTTGGCTTTTTGTTGCTAAGACTCTTGCTGTTCAGTCCAGTCCATGGTGTTCTCAGTATTTCAGACTGCTCCATGTTCATTGTTGCTGTTGGGTGTAGCAGTTGGACCCCACCACTCTACAGGTTCTTGGTAATTAGTCCTGAACGTTGAAAAGGAGGAAAGGCTGAGCCTGACCCTACAGATCACCTACACCTTATGCATATGACTGTCCTGCTCCACATGGACAACTCCTGCAAACAGTGCTCCCCACTGGGCTGCTCAGAGCCTGGAACTGGTAACATGTAGGCTTAAGGGACCATGGCAGAGTTGTCTGTATGCACTGCACAGCAAAATCTATTATTTATTGTTTGAATTACAAGAGCACTCACAAGTCCTTGTCAGGTACCAGGAAGACAGGCAAGACTGTCTCTGCCTCAAAGAGCCCGCAGTCAAAGATAAGACTGAATAATAGCTATGGATAAGGACAGGAAACAGTAGGATTTGTGAGCTGACAGCACAGCCTACCAGCCCCATTCCAACACATCAGGCCATTCACTCTGTACACACCTGTGCTGCTTCCTAATGGTGTATCACAGCAAACAGGAGTTGTTACACACAGCACCTTCCCAGCTGCAGCTGAAGACAGTAAGTTATTGAGTTAACACTTCATTTCAGCAACACACAAAAATAGCTTGGCTTCAGTGCCTTTTAAAAGCTTCCTTTTAAAGGGTGTTTACAGCTAAGCATTACCAAGAATGCCAGTGTATGAACTGATCTAAGAAATGATTGAGAGTTTCCCAATTAAGCAGCATTTCAGCTATTTAGGAGGAACCAAGTGCTCGCAACATATGCTTGAAAACAGGTCAAGACAAGTCAGCAATTAACCTATTAAAAGCACATATCCTTTTCTAGTGGAGCCTCCACCAATTCACACAATGCCTAACGTGAGATTTCTAGTGTAGGCACAGGGCACATTCTTAGAACAACTTTTCAGCCTTTTATACAAACCAGGAAGGCAGGTATGGGATGTACTTTTTTTTTTTTTACTAGGATCACACTTACTACACAAGTCACTCAGTAGAGTGAATTGTTTCTCATGTTCATGCAGTGCTCACCCATAGGAGGGTTGAGAGGCTCTCCTACTTTCAAGTTACCTGTGACCTGTCCCGCACCCCGCTGGAGAATTATCTTCTGAGCAAAACACGCAGCTTCTTGGGTTTTCCTGACAGCAACAGTAACAGCTGCACAAAGTGCTACAGGTACTGCAAGGACTTTTAACTGCAGATACTTTCAGCTCAGCACTGTCACTTTGCTTTTAAGCAAAGCACAGAACCTTATACATTCTTTCCCTATATTCTTTCACATGTTAGCGAGTCTTTAAAATCCTTTGCGTCTGTGCACTGCATTTTGTAGTATCCCAGCACACTGTAGTACTCCCATAGCACTACTGTTACAACATAATGCCTTGGTGCTTAAAAGCATGCTGCTTGAAATTAAACTTTTTTTCAGTTTAGTCCTACTCCCTCCAAGATAAAAGTCCTTCCCCATTCTCCTCCACCATTATATCTGCATTATTCAGATAAAAATGTTCTTCATCTTTCTGACCTGGTTTACCCTGATTTCACAGCCATATAACAACAGGATCTACCCTGCAGCTCCGGAAAGCAGAGAGCACTGGCAACATGAACAGAAGGCACACTGCTTACATATGGGTTTTCCCAGCCGAGGTTCAGTGAAGCTGAACATTAAGTGGTAGTACTACAGCAGAAAATTGTTGTGAGTTACAGAGCCCTGCAGAAAGGCTCCTGTATCTACTCGTGTTAAGTAAAGAGCTGAAACATCTACCAGCTCCTTTAAGGTATTTTAGAGTTAAAACAGAGCCATTGCCTTACCCTGAGACCAAGGTGAGGGACAGCACTCGCTCCTGTAGAACATCACTGTTTGCCTTCTCCCTCTCCCCAGGTGTGTTTACACAACCAGTGCGCGGCCGCTCCGCACGCAGGAAGCCGTAGTGTCCCCCTGACAGCTGCTATCTCCTCTCGTGTGCCAAACCACAGGATTCGCATAGAGCCAAGAGCGTCCCCTCTGCCTGTGTTGTCTTCTACACCTAGACTAACTCCGGGCCATCACTGGGCTCAAGTTTTCACTCAGAGGCTTGCAGGCAGTGCTCCGTCTCTGCAAGCGGAGCCATTGACTCACACCAAGGCACTACCCGGCACAAAAGAGCAGGACGACAGGACGACCTTCTCACTCGGGACAGCCACCATGCGCAAACAGAGCAAACCCTTCGCTTCTGCACAACCAGCCACTCAAAATTGGTGATGTGAGAGTTCCTCCCACCCACGAGCAGGTGGCTCATTACCCAGCCCTTTGCTCGTATCTACAGACAACCAAGGAAATTCATTTTAAGTACTTATCACCATGAATTAAAGATTACAGAAATACTGGCTGAAAAAAAAAAAATGTATTGCCAGGATAGATTCTTTGCATTCATTATAACTGTGTTACTAGAAACATAAATAAGTAATGACTATTGATCTTGCATAACCTCAGAACAGCAAACTACAATAAACTGAGAGGAAAAGGACATATCTTAACTGGAATGTACAAACCAAGACACCAACAGCACCTCTTAAAAATAAACAAGCAAAGCCAGCGCGGCCCACAGCTGTAACACCTCACGCTTTTAATTCTAGTAAAAAAATCACCGGGACAGGACGAGGTTTCCAAAGTATTAATTACACATTCGCCAACCAAATTTACCATTTAACCCGTTTCCTTCTGGCTGAAGGAGTGTCTGACACCCCGATATGAATCCACAGCCGGCGCGCCCGGCCCCGCCGCTCCCCTGCCCGGGCACCTCCAGCCGCTCAGGCCGCCGGGCTCCCGCCCTGCGCCGCCTTCCCTTCCTTCCTTCCTTCCCTCCCCGCGGGCTTCCCGCGCCCAGCGGACGGGGGAAGCGGGAGAGGCACAGGACAAGGCGCCCATGGCACCGGATCCCGGTGAGGGTGCCCGGCGTGCTTCACATTCCAGCGACGGTCCAGCTTCAACAAGTGCATCGCGCCCCTCCCTGACGGCACCTCGCCCGCCAGCGCCGGGGCGGCGCCCGGACCCGGCCCTGCCCGCAGCCCGGCCGGGCCGTGCCCCGCCACCGCTCCCGCCGCGGGCGAAGGGATCGGGGGAAGGAGGGATCGAGGGACGGAGGGATCGAGGGAAGGAGCGAGGGAAGGAGGGAGCGAGGAGGGGGCCGGGGCCCCGCCGCGCGCCCGCCGCC